TCAACATGGCTGTACCACATATATTTCTCCGGTCAGCCGACCCATTAGTGCTACAGTTTAATAGCTGCAGCACGGCTCTACCACGTATAAGGTACTTTGCCATTAAGGCTTATTGAAGGATATTACTCCAAAAATAGAAGTTTACGCACAAAATATATTGAATTTTAGTCCCCGGAGTGACAACTGACAACGTACTTGCATTTTGATTTTCAATAGACGATAGATGTAGGTATATAGGGCTCAACATCTAATTACCATTGGACGAATTGTGTACTCGTTTGTTACGCCTATTTTGCAAAAGATATTTTTTGAATGACCTAATAAAAGATTTTGGTACTTAAGACAGATAATAAATATAATTAATATTAAAGTCTATAAGAAGACACCTTACTTATTATTAAAAGTCATCCCTACACTTGGTATTTTTTCTGTATAGTTTTACATACATAAATCGCTCATGGACAAACACCGGAGACATAGATTACTGTGTATATACTAGAGATGATTTAAGGCTATACACGAAACACTTTTTTCATGAATTTGTGTGAATGAAGATTTAACCTGCAGCGCCATAGACAAACGTTCAGTCACTGCTAAAATCTTACTGAAACTTTGATAACATGGGAGGACCAAGCTCAACAGTGGATTTTAATAAGCTGATTATGAAGAAGAAGAAGAAGATAATGCAAAGTTCTAGGGTAGAAACAGCCGAAGAAAATAGCATGTACGTATGCTACCTTTAAGAACACCAATGAGGGCGTCAACGATTTTTTCTGTCACCAATACGGTACCGCTTAAAAATGATTTCATAGCGGCAGAAGGGAATTATCGATACGGGGTTGCCACTTGAGATCCTTTTTTCCCTTTCGGTTGTCGGTTCTAATGTACGAGCTATATATGGGCGCCACTTGCCACTTCAGCTCAATAATCTGTTGGGCTATATTAGTTACTAGAAACGGATAAATCAAACTACTTATATGCCTAAAAATAGATGAATTAAAAATTTTGAAAATGTGAAAATATTAAAGAATACAGCCCTGTGGCATTGTGTTATGTACATGCACAAGAAACCGAAAAACAACTGTTCAATGATAATGACACTGTGTGAGCAACTACGTAACAAAAGTTCACCTTAGTCCTAACCTAGCGACATCTGGTAAGATTATGGGCCCTCATTGAGGAACCATAAAGTAGCTTTTTTATCTTATTACACTCTCCCTCCTCTCACTAGTTAAAGCGATACCGCGAAAAAATGCACCTCCTTTCATCGAATAGTATAGGACTATAACATCACTAACGAAAGTGGAATTTTGATATAAGTAAATTCATGTCTTTATCTTGAATTTGCTTGTTCAAAAACACGATTGTATAATTTTGACTCGGCATAATTATTTGCGAAAACACCTATAAAAATCACTATAGTTGAAATTACAATGAAATTACTTAATCTCTATGCTTGGGAATCACTCAAATATATTTATAACATCAATATTCGTAATCTACTTGCTCATTATTTTGATTACTTAAATCAATAATTTTTTAAAAATATTTAAGATTCTGATAATTTCTAAGCGGTCTTAATCGTCGCGGGCGTTACGCAATTTTTGACCTTATGGTGATGTTTTTTAAGTTTTCATAGAAATTATGTATTCACTCGGATCAGTACGGCGATAGCCCGGAGCCACGTTTTCGATGTGTCTTAAGGAGATTGTCTGTTATCACTTATCAACGCCTCTTAACGTCATAACGCTTCTTCTGATAATGATAATTCTCCAGCTTCTTCATCGAACGTTTGATGAGTTGATAAACTTATTCATTATTCAAAATTTTTGTCATAAGTAAAATTCATAGTGTGTGTTTATTGGAGGAGGGGGGCATACTTAAGAGAGGGGAGTCACGCGTATTTTTTTTATAAAAGAGGGGGCAAACGAGCATAAGGTTCACCTGATGTTAAGTGATTACCGCAGCCCATGAACAACCGCAACACCAGGGGAATTGCAGGTGCGTTACCGGCCCTTTAGAAAGAAGTAAGTTCTTTTCTTGAAGGTCCCCAGGTCGTATCGGTCCGGAAATATCTCGGGTATTTCAATGAAATCGTTAGTATTGACTCTAGTAGTACTTTGCATTTTATTAGACCTATGAGAATTGCTTATAGAGTCGAGTAAGTCGCTTGAAAGAGAAACAGTTATTTGTTTTGCTTCTAATGCCTTCTTGATTTCGGGCTCGAACCTCGGGTTGGGCCAAAATTGGGTGTTTTCTGTTACGAAATTCTCAGTAGCAGCCCGAAGTCGGGTAGTTGGCGGTAAGCATATAAATCCTTTGATCTTTCGCCTAAGCTCTCTCTGGAAGTATCGGATTGCCGTCCTATCGGATTATCAGAGTATAGACGAAGAATAGGACGAAGGTTATCTTCTAATAAAACATCGCGCATACGCGTCGACAGTCGCTCTTAGTGTTCTGTGCCAAAATTAGCAAAGGGGAACCTGTAAAAGGATTATGATGTGTAGTGGTGGCCTAAAATAATCTATCACCTCATTTCATCCAGTGGGTTTCGTAAGGCTTTGAGAAATGCAAGTAAAATTTTATGGCTTCCCTATAGATGGCAGTATAACCATGTCGTTTATGCAACAGACAAAAATACACAGTACGGCGATAGCCAGCAGCATCAATGGTGCGAGACTTCCGGCACTCCGATCGTCGATCCCGCCTGTTAAGCGTAACTAAATATTATTTCAAGTCCTCCTTACAACGGGAGAGGCTAAAGTACCTACCGTGGTGTTTTTTGTAGCTGATAAAGAGTTTGAGAAGAACTGAATTGACAGCTGAGAGAAGTTGCGTTAGCAGTAAGGCAGTACGAATATTTTGTCCGTACCGTATTGTGTCCGGTGCGAATGATTTTTCCGTACGCCATAGTGCACGTCTCTATATGCAGGGTTATTTTTCAAAAAGTATCAAAATTTTATATTTACATTGCAGTTCATAAATAATGATATACCGTTATTGCAGTTTTTGAAAATACGAGTAAATAGGGCATACTTTTATTAGAAATTATCCCAAATTGAATGTGGTTTATTGGCAACAACTACGCGTTCGCGCACTCCTCTGTATGAGATTTAATACACAACATTTTTGCCGACCGAGCAACCTATTACGAATTTCTGCATGCGTAATAAAATAGTGGGCGTTAGATATTTATGAATAACTATCAGTTAAATAGATAGATAAGATATATATTACAGCTGTAGTGGTAGCATGAATTGGTTGGCTCGATCCGGGAAGGACCACGCTCGCGAATGTAGAGAACCAGTGACCCGTTTTACTGGAATCGAGACATTCGATCTTAGTCCTCAGGGGTGACAACGCATCTACATTTTCATTCTTAATCGGGGTTAAATATACTTACACAGCATCCTTTTATCATCAGCTGAACTGTGGGCTCGTTTGTCACCCTTGTTCTATAAAAAAATGCATTACCACAAATTCTGAATTTAAAAGATAAAAAGGATAGAATGTTTGAGACTATTTTTTGAATTATTTTTCCTATATTAGTTATTCTGAACTTCCTCTGCAAATTTGAGCATATTCCAAAATAACCTTGTATAATCGTATTAAACACGTCCCGCTGCTCGGAAAGCGAACGTGGTGTCATTTCATTCAATTATAAATTCTTCAAATCCTAAAACCTTATTCAAATCTAGTGTCGAATAAACTCTAAATTGCTTTGACAATTAAAATATTGATATTTTTCCTAATATACCATTTATCTAACTTAATTGTCATTATAATATACAAAATGATGTAATTTATCATATGGTAGCGTTGTAAGAAAATACATTAACCTGTTTAGTCTCGTTGGGCCCTAATAGGCACATTGGGAAAGACAGAAAAAACCTATGGCCTCTAATAGACCATCTCGTAATATAATACCAAGTGAAAATAGCCCAGACTGAGGAGCAGAGGCGAAGGTGTGGCAGCTCTAGTGGTATATACAATTGCAAAAATACTTAGACTGAGGAGCAGAGGCAAAGGTGTGAGAGGTCTGTTGGTATTATCGCTCCTTACTGTATAGAGACCCATGTCCAGAAGTGGACTGTTATGTAATATTAAAGAAGATGTTATCAGTTATAATTTTTTTTTAACAAAAGGTAATTCGGTTATTATTTTAAGGATTTCCAGCATTACCAGCCATTTACTTTTTTTTAATTTCAAATAGTTTGTACCACATTCTCAATTGCTTTTGAAAAGAATTGTTCTCTTAAGCATTCATCGTACCGTCTCAATTCGTGTTAGGGTAATTCCGGAAGTTTTTTAGGACTCTGATAGGTGCCGACATAATAATTTCATTTTTACACTCGATGTTAAATAAGTACCTAGTGTAACTGGTGACGGGCGCCGAATGAAATGAACATTGAATTAGAGAAGTCCATGTACTCAAGAGGTAAAATAATGATGCACAAAATCCCTAAAAAAACATTATACAAATAATGTCTTCCGGGCGGACCGACCGAAAACACCTCCGATATCCTGACTACAGGATGCTCTAAGAATTTCTTGACAAAACCGATTTTTTTACACAACCAGATTTTTTATCCAATCATGAGAGTCGATGTAACGACCACTGGACCAGAGAGGCGGGCAAACATTAAAAATAATAACATGAAATCCGCCAGTCATTGCGCTAATGCGTAAATTGTTTTATTTTCGATTTCTGTTATTACTAATTGGCCTTACCTTAGATACGACGCCATTCCATAAACGAACTAGGCAATTCTCGATGATCACGGACGAATAACGATAGGATGTTGAAGTGGAACACAAGGTGAGGCTTTCATCGGGTGTTGTGCTGCGGGCTGCGGATGTCTAGGTCGGCGCGCCGTAGCGAAATCGCCAGTCGAAGGAAGACAAGCGCGCGCGTTCCTCGCACACTAGGCGCATGCGCGCTGTAGAACCTTCGTGCGTGTTTAAGTGTTTTACGTGTATACTGAAAACAAGCAATAAACATGAAGCTCCATTTTAAAGTATTTGGTGAGTTTTTATTATTTTAAAGTAATTTTGATCTAGCAGTGATTAAAAATTCAATTGTTGTTGACGCGATTCTTTATGAAGGTAGTTCTAAATAATACTGCTAATTATGAATATTTCTTTTGCTCTTGCTTAGCGAGCCGTTAATATTTCCTTAACACAAGACTCGATTATTTCATTAAATATGAATTAAATATAGTTTTGTAAATTAGTAAACAATATTCTCTAGTTTTACAAATTTACTGTTAACATTATTGAATTTTTTATTTTATTTATATACACACGAGATACGGAAAGTCTTATAGTAAGTTTGTAGAAAGGTTCTACTTATTCCATAATTTGCTGAAATATCTTCCAGTAGACCCATAAAGGAAAACATATTAAAAAGGCTAACTTAATGCATACATTACTACTACTTATGAATAAATAACATACAAAATGTTACGTAAATTATACTAAATAATGTTATAAATAAAAATAAAATAATACGTATGATTACTTACGTGTAATATATATAAACTAATATAATAAAATAATATATAATAATTAACAGAATGCATAAAATTATCTCTAACACATTCCTTAAATGCCAATTAAGTTTTGAAACTTCTTATATTAATCGGTGGTGAGTTCCATATCCTAACCGCGTGAACAGAAAAGGAGTAGGAGTAAAAACCGGATTTATAGACGGGAAAGTTAAGAAGAGTTTTTTAACAAAGGATCTGTATGGTTCATGTGGAGGATGAGTGAAGGGAAATCGGCTTTTGAGGTATGTGGAAGAAGACGTTATAGAGGTTATACATAAACGTACATATACATAAACACTCACGCCTGTCACCCAGAGGGGTAGGCAGAGACTACAGACTTCCATTTGGCACGATCCTGACGCACCTGTCTTGCCTCCTTCACATCCATACACCTACGCATACATGCTCGTCGGTTAAGGGTACTCCTAATTTGGCCCGTTTTCAATAAATCGCCAATTTGGTCGATAAATTTTCGCCTAGGACGTCCCTTTCCGACTCTGCCATTCACTTCTGCACCATTTATTTTCTTTGTCACTCTTTCCTCATTCATTCTTTCCACATGACCAAACCGCCGAAGCATTCCTTTCTTAATCCTGGTCACAACATCATCTTGCAAACCACACTCTTCTTTCTTATTACACAATTTCTTATAGAGGTTATGGAGGTATTGTGCAGGATGTTATAGAGGAGACATAACAATCGAGTGTTCCTCCGAATTTGAACTGAGAGCCATTCAGTCAAATGTCTTGAGATATGAAATGGATACACTGATTTTGCAAGCACTCAAGTTTATTAAGACGCTCCTTTGTAGAACTAACTGGCATAAACGTAATCAAGGAGAGGTAGGATAGGAGTGAGCATGAGTGATATTTTAGCTTTTATTTTAACTTTGTAGACTTTGTAGACATTTAAGAGAATCCAGGGTAAAGTGGAACTTACGAGTAACCCCAGCGATATGAGTAGACCATGATAAATGGTGATCAAATATAACACCTAAATTTTTGACAGTATTGGCAAAGACTATAGGAACGCCGCTAAAACGCACGTGAGGTATTGATGTAAATTCTAAATTTATTCACTTTATAATTTAGAATATTGTTTTTGATTTCAAGTTAACTAAAAGCATCGGACATCTTAAATGACGCTTTATCAAAATGTATCATTGCAATAAAAAAGGCAGTCTTTTTAAATTTGTAAATTATTCAATATATAATAGTACACATGTCGGGATCAAATAGGTGCAAACTTAGTACTAATACCGATCTGAAAGAAAAAACGAACCACTAGGATTTTTTCCTGAATCCTGAAGGCGTTTTAGATACTTACATAAATTTCTCATGGACAAACATCCAGACCCGAAACAATTATTTTTAGGTCATATAGACGTGTTCCGAGCGAGATTCAAACCCGCGGCCACGTAGCGGCGCATACAAGCTCTTAGCAACTGCGTTGACTGGCCGTCAATATAAATGTGATAACGCTTATTACTAGTACATTGCTAATATATATTCCTAATATGCATTTTGACTTGCTTTTATATATCTTTATATTGTTGCCATACAAATCTTTGATTAATAGTCTTGTATATTTTTTGTCATGGTTCAAGTTTATATATTTTTTTATTAAAATACCCTTTGTACGAGTTCAAACTTTATCATTACGATTTCTACGAATTTGAAACAGGTATCAACATTATGCATGTTTGGTATTTATGTAACATTACAAACACACATGAAATCATCAGCATCAGTCCTCACTCATCAGTCAGTTATCCATATTGTATTATTGATAAAAATATCTAATTATTACATAAAAATTACAAAGTTTGATACTCTAAATTTAAGCACTTAAACTTAAGGTGATGTGGGCGCCAACTTCACGCTTTAAATATGATTTTTTTGTCTTAAAGAATAAACTTAAAGATTTCTCTTAGTGAATTATGGCGGCCAAAATGCGATTGACACATTTTGGCGCGATAGAAAAAGATCGCAGTTTCCACAAAATCTACAATTTCAAGTACGTCCACTAAGTGAAAAAGCAGTTTCATTCGAATGTAATGAAATCAATTTCAATTAAATTCGGGCTATGTGTTCACCAGTAAATACGTGAGTGTGTGTGATTGTGTGTCTTAGTGTGTGAAAATATGATAATTTCGAATCAAACCGCGTCTTTATTTCTTTACCGGTAGAAACAACTGATGTTTGCTCAGCTGAGACGTTTTCAATTTTGCGAGGCAAAAAGGCAGACGTGCCAGACGTGGCACACAATTCAGACAAAGGGGATATGGTGCTCGTTCTCGTTCTGGATCTTTTCTTGTGCAAAGGATATCGATTGCAATTCAGTACGGCGGCATTGCTGCTACTCGTAAAGTCTAGTCTAGTAGTAAAGTCAAAAGGAATAACGATTCCTTTTGACTTTAACTTTGACCAGGGAACGATTTAAAGTAGGCTCTTGTATTAACTAATAAATGGCTATTCTGAATGTTTTTTTTTTCGAGCTTGTTACGGATAAATTGCAAATTAAATTTGTATTGTAATAAATATGGTTAACTTGAAATTACGAATAAGGTCAATTGTATAAATTTTATATTATTATTAACTTAGCTACAGTCTCATTAACTTAAAGAGTTTATTAGAGATACTTATTCTTGAAGCTTTCTTTCCTCCATCGAAGTAAAATAAATAACCTTTATGTCATCGCTAGCCTGTCGTTAAGTCATCGTGATCACATGTCTCTTTCTTTTCTTTTTTAAAATACTATAACCTCGTATTATGCTTGCGGCATACATGAAGCGGCTCAACTGGGGGAACGAATCTCCCACAAAATAGCAGAGTAAAATAGAACCATAATACTCAAAACGCGGCACTTCATTACATTCCTGAGGAGTGATCACATCTGCATTTTTTTTTATTAAGGATAGATGAACGATTCCTATGAGCCACATCACCTCATACCAACGTAAAATAGCAGTGTATGTGTTTCGCATGGTGAGTGTAGAGAACCGGAGACCCGTTTCACTGGAAACGGTTTATTCCATTTTAGTCCTCAGGGGTTCACAACAAGCAACACAACAAAGCAAGCATTTTGATTCATAATTGAGGATGGTTATAGATGTCTAGAAGCAAAAGCACCTTTTACCATCAGGTGAGCTGTGTGCTCGTTTGTTACCCTTCTCCTATAAAAAATATTTTATATTCATATTTTTTATACTTATATAAAAAAGATAAAAAATGGTTTTTTTCTCTCCATGTGCTAACTTTTTCTCCTTATCTTCGTTTAAATTATTTTACTTATATAAAAAGCCGTCTTAATTACCTTGCTTATATAAAAAATAGGGTTTTTTGTGCAAAATTTATTTCCTTACCTGTATCCCGATAAATAACGAACAGGATTCAGCGAAACGAAATCATGAACTGAATTAACTAACATATAAGTACTGTTTACTAAATCGGTAAAGTAAAAATTAACGCGGTATGGAATGTTAGTTAATGTTTGTATTAAAATAAAAATATAAGTAAAAAAATATCTTCGTGATGCATATAGAACAGAAATAATACTTTCACTTGCTTTGTTTGTAAAACAATGATGAACAGAATATTTACATTATTTGATGAAACTTCTGAAGAGAAATTGTAGTTATAGAGTTTGAGTAAATTCGAGTAGAGCCACAACATTTTATAACCCTGACTTTATTTAGTAGCAAACACGGACCGTGGTATGTTTTATGTAAAAAGTAAATTTGCAGTGGACTTAAACGAAAATTAAACGATGATATAATAGAGATCTTAAAGCATGCTCATATCAAACATAAAAGAAATTATTACCCAGTTAATTATTAGCAAATTCTCTTATCTTTTATAAAAAGTATATATATATATATATATATATATATATATATATATATATATATATTTCTTCAGTACGTGTGTTTGCCAGTGAACTTTTTTTAAATGGCTGGATCCTGGATGATTTAGATTCACAATTGGACCCAGAGGTTAAGGTGTCTTTAATTTGGCCCATCTTCAATATTTGGTCCATTTGGTTGTTTTAGCTTCTGTCTAGAAGGTACGCCCTCTTGCTGACGCTGCCGTTCCTTTCTGCAGATCGACTTTGTCACCCTTTCCTCATTCATTCTACTAACGTGTCCAAACCACTGAAGCATTCCATTTTTAATCCTAGTCGCAACGTTTTCTTGCAACCCACACTTTTCTGTTATTACACAATTTCCCAAGTCAGTCGTAACGTACTTCTTAATGACCGCATTTCTACAGCATTAATTATATTCTCACGCTACATTAAAGTAAAGTTTAATTTAGTCCCACAATAGTGTGAAGAGACCCATTTGCCATTTGTCTTAGATTCACGGAAAAACAAATACTAGCAAATTATTCCATTATGAGACAGTCTAAAGGGGGGAGGGTATGTTCAGCAGTGGAATTTAATAGGCTTGAATGAAGCAAAGTATCTTTGCAAGGA